GATCAACGGTGTTTTTTTCCAAAAGGAAAAACTGGGCTTTCTTGGTTTTTCTCCTTGAAAACGTTTCACTCCTCATCCAGGAAGCATCTTCAGTTCCTCAAGGAAAACAAAACAAGGAAATCCAGTTGGGTTTTTTTTTTTTTTTTTTGGAAAAGCACCTTTGGAGAAACCATGACCTGAATGATTGAGAATCTCCACAGACATATTAAAAGGATTCCGGCAGTTACCCCCCATTTATGAGTCTCTAGCCAAACTCCAAAAGGATTTATTGGGAGTCAAAAGATGCGGCACTGCCTGGGTGTAGCCGACTCTGAGGCACATCATTCATTGTCACCCTTGACCCTGGTTTTCCCCCCACCCCCTGGGAGTATCGTAATTCATATTCTCCAATGGGACACATCCACAGCCAAGAGTCATCAATCGTGCTCTCCAGTTACAATTTTGCACAGCAGAAACTTTGGTCACCTAGTTACTCTTTTTGAAAACAATTATGGAATGCAGTTTCGGTTTGCGAGCAGCTGCACTGCTCCCCCTTCCCCTTCTATTGGCAACTCTAAAAAGACCATAGAAATATTGTATGAGTTGACACTAGGCTTGCAACCTCCAGGTGTGGAGGCTTTAATTCCCAGAATTCTCAGCAATGGTTCTGCTCTTTAGGGAATTTTGGGGGTTGAAGTCTAATATCTAAGGAAGGTCAGAATGGAAAATCCTGTATTAAATTATAATAATCTACGGACTCTTTGGTATCATCCAGTCAACTCTTCTTAGATTCTTTGTAGTCGTTTTTAATTTGGATCACACAAAAAAAGGGAAGTGTGAGAATGGTTCTAGAAGGAAAGGCCATGAAGCAAACACCAGGTCGGCTTCTGGAGAAGGGAATCATCAGAAGGGCCACAACTTGAAAAAGGACTTGTGGTTCCTCTCATACTTCACATGGTACAAAGAGGACAAGATACAGGGCCAGATGGAAGTTATTATTTGAAGTCCCCACTTAGTTCTCTTATAGAAGAGAATATACATAGCTCAGAGTTGAACTGTGTGGAGTTTTGGGTCCTCTCTAAACTTGGTTGTTTACATGCAGATGTTTTGTTACGTAACCAGGTAACATCATCAGTGTTAGTGGGTGTAGGTTTGCTCCTTGTTTATATACAGTCACTTGCTCTTCCAGTGTTGGTGGGGGTGTGGTTTCCTTCTTGGTGGTTCCTTGATTAGGGTATTGGTTTCTGCTTATTTGTTCGTCTGGTGTTAATCCCTGCTTCTTAGGAATCAAGAAGGAAACAATGCCAGAACACATCATTTCCAGCAACCAACACCCAGATAAACAAGGATTAAGACCTCACCAATGGAAAAATAGCTGGCCAAGGCAAAATATTTTTGCCAAGATATTTTTTTCCCCATAGTTTCCTATGTGCGAGGTGTGAAAAAAACGGGACAGCATCCAACCAAGTCACACATATACCCATAATTTAAACTTCCCAGAGGAGGGAAAATGAGCTTATAATGAATACATGGATTTTCTGGGGATTCCAAATGTGTTATCACTTAGTGTGGTGAAGAGAAGACACGGTAGTTGTCTTCCATATCAGAAACATTGCCAGTTTCCAAAGTCAGGATGAGCCATGGATGTGACAAACAGAGACTCCAATAGAAAAAACTTCCTAACATTATGGAAGATCAGATGCTGGGAATAAATTGAGGCCAATTTTGTAGAGATACTTAGGAAGCAATTCGATGGCCATCTGTCAGGGACGTCCCATTTGAATGCTACAAGTGGAATCTGGATTGAGCGAGACACCAAGACACCTTCCAATTTCAATCTTATGATTTGATATCTCTACATCAGATCCCATTCCACACTCACCCACACCCCAACCTGACTATTCTGCATACCACATTTTCCACCCTCCTGACAGATTCAGGTTCAGCAGACCATTCTGTTTTCCAAACTGGACAGAAGTCCTTCTTGTTAAGCTTGGCAAAGCCTAGTCATTAAGAGAGGAATGGACTCTTTATCGAGTAGTTGACTCTTCCCAAGAGAAGTAAGCTAGTCTGCCAAACCGGAGCTTCCCTTGCCAAGATGCATCAAAAACTTGCGGTGCCAAAGAATAGCTTCAAAGTTTTCAACTTAACTTCTTGCTGGTGTTCCTTCACCAGCTGGTCCATTAGCCTCAGGCAAAAGGGGCAGAGCTGGTTGTGTAAAACGCTAGGAAGCAAGTTAGGAATTTGCAAAACCAACAAATATTAAATCTAGAAAGCAACTTGAACACGTTCAGGTTACTAGAGATTAGTTGCTTCCATGTATTCAGGTGAGTCTTTTGGGTGGACAATCTGATTTTAGACACACCCATCAGCCCTTCTAGATAGACTGAACCAGGAAATCAACACCACAGCAAGGATAAAGTTACTTTTATCAAGATGGGTCTAATAAGAGAATCTTTCAGGTCTTATTATGCTGGACCTCTTACACTCCAGGGAATCAGGGGAGCATCCGTCTGACTCGCTTCTGAATGTTATCTGGATCTTAAAACAATGTTTCAACCCCGTTTACCTAGGCAACAGTTCCTGCATATCTCCATTAAGTTATCTTCCTTACTCTCTACACAAAATAATTTCTCAACTTTGGCAGCTTGAAGATAATGTGGCCTTCAACTCTCACAATTCTCTGGCCAACATGGGAGCTGAAGTCCATCTAATTTTGGAAGTTGAAATCCACATAATTTGGGGAGTTTGAAGTCCATTCTGGTTTACAGAATGGTCTACATAGTTTTGGGAGTTGAAGGTCATTCTGGGAGTTGAAGTCCATCATCTGCTGGCTGGGGAATTCTGGGAGTTGAAGCACTCACATCTTCAAGCTACCACGGTTGAGAAATACTGATCTGTAGAATGTCAGCCTACTGAAAGGTGGTGTCCATGTTCTGTACTGTCTAATCTTCTGAGGCTACTAAGCTAGCTCTTAATTAGTTCCTGAATCCCAAGTCCAAAAAACTGAGTGCAGCAAGAGACTCCATGTTCCAGCCATGCAGGGTTTATGTGTATGGGTTTCCTTGAGACGGTCAGATGTGGAGTGTAGGATATAGGTAGACGTATGGCTGTCTGAGTGCTTGTCTCCAAACGCTGGGTACCGGATTGGATGCGTCCGTATCCATTCAACTGTCACCCCAATCAAGTGAAGGCGCTTTAATTGACTTTAATAGCTATCAAATGCCATCAACAATGTCTCTTAATACACAAATCAATTAGCCAGTCTGATTGGCAGGAGGAGAGTGGTCAGGTGGCCGAGAGAGGCAAGAGAGGAGCTGAGCTGCACACAGCCGGTTGGTCGAGGGATGCTGGGAAAAGCCTCCTTCACCACGGCAACAGAGGAGGCTTTGCAAACAGCACTGTGGTACCCCTGGAGGCTTCTATATTCAGTTCGTGTTACTCTCTTAGCTTGATGTTCCAGGCTATAAATGTAGCGTTTATCTTTTTAGCTCGCTCCAATCCTGCCTCCTTAGGAAGTGGCTTAGATAGACGCAGTCATGCTTGCATGAAGTGTTGACATGCAGACAGTTTCTGGTTCAACATTCTGGCCAGCTCTTTAGACCAGCCATCTTTCAGGAAGCCTTTTCCATTTTTTTTATCCACCTATCCACCTGCCCTGGGATTTGGTTGCATTTTCACATGACCTCCAGACTGGCTTCGGTCATTACAATAAGCCTCAGTATGCTTGGCCGTTGTTTACTGAATGTTTGGATTTCCATCACATCCTAAGCCATGAAGCTCAGTTCATAAACCACCATGGCTGAGTTCGTGTTGTGGGCTAAGCCAAAAACAAACAAATCACATATTGTTGTGGTATGGGAACCTCACTAGAGTCAACACGCTGTGGCTGTTTTTTGTCCATACTAATTTTGTTTCTGAGTTTTCCTTGACTTGTGTTGGCTAAACTCCAAGCCTTCCCCAACCTTTCGAGTATCTTCCCCTTGAATCTAGGATGATCATGCTTGATCTGCCCAAAAACAGTGTTTCTCAGCCTTAGCTACTCTGGGACGGGTGATCTTCAACTCCCAGAGTTCTCCAATCAGCATGTTGGCTAGGGAATTCTGGGAGTTGAAGTCCTCACATTGCCAAGGTTGAGAAATGCTGGTTAAAACTCCACATGGGGGAGAGTAAGTTTGGCAATCGAGACAATACTACTTGTGAGACGAGTAGCAAACAGTTTTACCTTCCATTGAGAAAATTAAGGTCAGTGGGTCATCCTTCTGAAATTATGTTGCATGCGTGAACCTTGATAGAAAAGCTAAAAACTGGGGCAGATTTAGAATAATTGCTTGGGTAGACTGAAATATGTGGAATCCAATTCCTTGATGCAGGACTTAGGGGAAAAGGACCAATTCAGAGCGTTACAAAGATTCTTACGAGTTACCCTCCTAAAATGTAATATGTGGTCTTTCTTTCCTAAACTGGACGAACCTGACTTTTTTTTCTACTGGTCCTTCTTTCTTTCATGATGGTAGTCTGATTTATTTTATTGTTGATCTTCGCCAAGTGTTCGTTTTGTGGTGCCACTACCTAGTCACTATGGGTCCTAGCGTGGAACTACCAAACCAAATTAAATTGTTGTGTTTTTTCCCCTCCCATCATGGTGCTCAGTCTATTTCCCTTTCAACAAATGTTTTGCCAAGAAAATGAGGTGAAGACACATAGATGCCTCTGTCCCAAATGTGCTTTTTCAGGACGCAACTAGACTTCCTTTGTTCTTCCTTGAAGATATTTCGCTTCTCATCCAGGACATTGAAGTGAAGAAGCTTCCTGGAGGAGAAGTGAAGTGTCTTCAAAGAAAAACGAGACAGTCTAGTTGCCTTCTTAAAAAGCACCTTTGGGACAACCGTGACCTGGATGACTGAGAATCTCATCTAAATCTGGAGCCCCAGTTCGGAAAAACGATCCATATTAGAACATGGAATGACTCTATACAAACCCTAGAATCTCACCAATCCTTCCTCTGTTTCCTTTGGCAGATGAACCGCCCAATCCAAGTGAAACCAGCAGATAGCGAAGGCCGGGGAGGTAGGTGGCGTTGTTGTTGTTTTTGTTTAAAACATTCTTTGTATGCTCAAGACAGTTTCTCCAATGGGTGGTGCAGGCAACACTCCATGTTGGTTTAGATCATCTGTGATGCGGTTGATGCGCTCTTGATGTGGTTTAGAACAGAGGTCTCCAACCTTGGCAACTTTAAGCCTGGCGGACTTCAACTCTCAGAATTCAGCCAACCAGCTTTGCGGACTTCAACTCCCAGAATTCCCCAGCCAGCTTTGTGGACTTCAACTCCCATAATTCCCCAGCCAGCTTTGCGGATTTCAACTCCCAGCAAAGCTGGCTGGGGAATTCTGGGAGTTGAAGTCCACCAGGCTTTAAAGTTGCCATGGTTGGAGACCTCTGGTTTAGAGATGATTGGTGAGGGACGATCCCTATGGAAGGGGAGGAGTGTAATAAACCCTAGTGAAATGGATGTTTCTCAGGAAGAAGGGAGCATATTCCAAAGAGGGGGTTAGGTGGGTGGGTGGGGGGTTGAGACAAGAGCCAACCCAGCCCAGAGTTAGATCAGAGAAGGAAGAGCTATTCCATAGAATCTCCCAGGGTGTATCTGTTAGGGTTAGAGTACTCTAGGTTTGGCCTGGCAAGATTCTGTCTTCATGGTGTGAGCAAATAAAGAACTAGACTTTGCCTGGATTGTTCTATGTCATTCTTGGGTTGAGCCTGCCTCATCCTTCTCAGGCAAGAAACACAATTAGAGGAGCTAAATCTACTTTAGGCTACAGGATACACCAGAATCTTGCATGTTTGAAGGTACAAACTTCCCGCCACCACTTTTAACCACCTGACTAATTAGGACAAACCCCAAATCTCTTCCTGTGACTGTGTTACAGCTGTGGGCTCTTCCTTCCCTTGTTTGATCCTTCCCTAGGCAGCATCTCTTCCCTTCTTCTCCCCAGGTCTCCGTTCCATTACAATGTTGAATCAGACCGAGAGGAACCATATTCTCTTAATATCATCATGCCTGAGCCCCTCAAATCAAATTAAGATCTCGGTTCTCCGTTCTGTGCCACTCAAGTCCTCCTGTTTTTTAAGTAGCTACTCTCCCCTTAAAAGAAAACAAAGCAAAATCAAATTGGAAATAATTAATTGGAAGGCTCTTGGAATGATGCCCTTTGTTTCCCAGAAGACAAATTCCATTAGAACTTCAGGAAGAACCTCCTAATGGTGAAGGTCATTCTACTCTGGGTTTAAATCCACCGAGAAACAGTGGCGATCCCTTTGGAGGAAGGCTTGTGTTTGGCCACCAGCTCTAGTAGGAAAGTAGAGTTGATGACTTTAGTGGAGCCTTCAAGTCTCCAATTGTAGGATTCCGAGTAAAATAGGAACCGTGCAAATCTTTGCAATTTGCAGATCGTTGCAGATTGTTTGAGTAAGAAGGGTCCAGAGGAGGAGACAGTTTAACTAATAGAGATGCAGAATCCTAGCTTATGGCAAACCTTTAAAAAAATCCTTTGGAAGTCCAAGCTTGGGATCTGACAAGCTCTTCTCCCTTGTAACACAAGGGTTGGTGGAGCTTGGACTGCTTTTTCGTGCATCTGTTTCAGACCGGTGGCATTTTTTAAAAAATAGCAATCTCTCCACTGGCTACATTTAAATTGGCACTTTTGATACTTGGCCGTTGACCTTAGAGGCAAGAACACAGTTTGTGGTTTACACAGCAGTGAGCATTTGAGCAATTAAGCCAACCCATGTAGGGGAGAGAAAAAAAAACCTAGTTTAGAGGCAGGAGGCACAGTGATGTGGCTGAAACCCATCAGGTTGAGCTCTGAACAACTGCTACCTCCCCATCCCTATTTTTGATGTGATTGCAATAAAAAGCAAAAACGGAACTAGAAAAGGACAATTTGATCCTTTAACTTTGCAGGCACTGAGGAACACAAAAGCTGAACTCTATTATAGAGCTGTGCCCACTTCCCACGCACGCCGACACACTGAATTTTAATTAAATTTAAACGAGATTTTGCTTTTTTTTTTCCCCTTACCCCACCCATTTCTGGAAGTTTTAAAGGTTTCACCAAAGCTACACATTAGCCTTGGATCCAAGATGGTGAGGGATTTACCATTTACTTAAAAACATTCAGTGGCTGCATTTTTATTTTGGTTCGATGCCTAGAAATATGTACAAGTCTGCATTTTATTCAAGTAGACATTTGCACGAGAATGGAGATTTGACAGTAAAAAATAACGAGGCATTCTGGACACACCTGAACCAAATTCCATCTTGGTTTGCTGTAATTTGGCCACGATACTTTGGGCATAACATCTAAACTTAGCGGACAGTGACACCCGCCCACTCTGTAGAGAACATTTTAAAGGCCTCAGAATAGCTGTTCGTGGCTGACCGGCGCCCTCTAGGGGAATGTGCTTGAATAATAAAAAAAAGCAAGCTGGAATCCCAAATACTGTAGTAGCGTTTACAACCAGATTGAAGTTTTGCCAGAAGCTTCAGGACTTGGAGAACTGATAGAAAATTCTCAACATCACAAATCACGAGGAGGGTGAATTGTTAATGCTCCCCTAAGCTATCTACTTAAATAAATACCACTACCTTACCCTCATTTGAGGTAACAATTCTCTTCTCCTTGCCAAAAATAACAGCCTTCCAAACCCTCAGTAAGATCATTTCCATTTTCAATTAGAACAAAGCAATCAGTGTTAGCAAAAGGAAATTCAAATTGGCCTGATTTTGCATGGATCTCTTGAAAGATTATTGTTGATATTATTATGATAGCGGGTGAGCCCAGAGTCAGCCAGATGTTGGGATCGGATTTGGCATTTTTATTCACCCACCGAGTCCTTCCTAAGGACCTAGGAGAGACAGATGTTGTTTGATGATATTATTAGCGATAGCATTATCTGTGCAACAATGTGAAATCACAGCTGACAGTTCTTTAGCTGGTGCTGGCCTTCACACACTTCTTTACAAATAGGATGTTGCAATGTATTGGCACGGTACATGATGTGTGGCTATTTAAGATGAGTTTTATTGGAGATGACTTAGCACAGTCTGTCCACTCTTCCAAAAGTTTGCCTAATAATGAGGAGGGGGATTACAAAATCCCAGAGTAGAACACCTCCCAATTACACATCCGAGGTCTATTTGCAACCATCTCTTCTTGTTGAATTTCTGAAGTTCAACCTCTTTCTTTTGAAGAAAATCGTCTCTTAGTTGAGGAATCTCTTGGCCTCTAGATCAAGGGCCTCCAAACTTGGGAACTTTAAGACTTGTGGACTTCCAGAAATCTGGGAGTTGAAGTTTGGAGACCTCTGCTCTAGGTCTCACTAAATACATATTCCTGGCATTGTTCAACCGCAGCTGAGCTGGTTAGAGCTCCTGGGAGTTATAGTTTTGATCAACAAAGTGGAGAGTCCCAGTTTCCTGGCTACTCTTGCTACTTGAATGGCTTGTATCCAAGGTGTACCTTGGTTGACTTCTCATCTGAAATTTCTCCCCTCTCTCCTCCTCGGTCTTTGCACCTTGTTCCCCAGGGTTCTGCCTACAGTCGCATGTATACAAGGATTGGTCTTTTATTCCCAGGTCCTCAGGCCCGAGCAGGGTAAATAACGATCTATTCCAAAAGAGATGTAGTTATTAAACACAATTCAGCTAGTGCCAGCAAAAGCTCCAGGTATCCCAGAGGGAACCAGGAAATAAATTACCCACTTACAGAATGTAATTGGTGAGGGATTAAAAATCAATGGCTAAAACAAGATAGCAGTTTTGGCCAGATTCTTCGGAGAAGGAGGAGAAAAATAAAATCCTTCCTGGGGAGACAACCCTCTCCATCTTTCAGCCCATGCTTGCCAATGATTGGACATGAGCCATCATCCTGCAGAGTTTTGTTTTTTTTCTTCCTGGAGAAATATCAGGAAGACATTTCATGAGTTTCCAACTCGTGGGGTGATAGCTAACCCCAAAGGTAATCAGGAATAACCAGTTCTGCAAGTGTGGTAAGATCAGACAGTGGATGTAGAGGTGAGGAACATCAATGAAGGCTCCAGAACCTCAATAGCCAAATCCTTGTCTTCTTTCAAGATTTTCAAGAAAAGGTGTTTTTTTTGTGGGTGGGTGTTTGTTGAAAAGGTTGATAGCGATCATAGCTATGTGGTACAATTATCAGACTGTTGGATCAAGAGGAGAAAGTTGGGATGAAATCTCCATTCAGAGTATTTGAAGATTTTCAACCAGTCATGACGGGACATAACTGTCTTCCGGTATTTGAGGGACTTTCACAGAGAAGACTTATTCTCCAAAGCATCTGAGGGCAGGCCAAGAAGTAACAGGTGGAAGCTAGTCAGAGAGACATCCAACTTGGAAATAAGAAGGGTTTTCCTGACAGTTAAGTACTATGAAGCAATAGAACAATGAGTTGTGGGTGCTCCATCACTGGAGGTTTTCAGAAATACACTGCACAACCATTTGACCAGGATAGTATAAGGTCTCCAGCCTTAAGCAAGGAATTGAACTAAAAGACCTCCAAACTCCCTTCCATCTCAACGATTCTATGTCTTTTGAGCCTGGCTTTCCTTGCAGAGTTACAGGCATGACACTAAAATGAGAATAACGATGAACGCTATTTGGGAAAAAATGTAGTTTCTTGATTTCTAAATTTATAATATATAAATTCTGTACAACAATATAAATCAGAAAGGCAGGAGAGAAATCAAACCAAGAGTTGGCAACTCAAATGTTTCCCATTGCAGCCGATACAATCTTCTTGCAATTGGCTTTGTCCACTGAAGAACCAACAGTTCTTCATACTTAAAAAGAGAGAGCAGGCACAGAAATAAGAAACTAACATACGAAATGGAGGGGGAGCATGGAATACACTCAGTGTAACAATAGACCGAGATCTGTTTGAAGAGCTGTTTCAAAGGATTGCTGTCCATTTCAAAGTAGCTTGGCTGAAAAACTGCCCAACTCACGTGTGTTTTAAAAATAGAGATTCCTGAAAAAGAACAGCCGCGTGGTTGTGAAGCTGCTGTGAGCAGAGAGTCCCAGAGTAGCTGATTGAGCAGATGATCTCCTGGTAGTAACCGTCTCTATGCTGAGAAGAGACAGTAGGTTGCATCTCCATTCACACAACTTGTATTATTTCTAGACCTCTATGGGATTCTCCATAGGGTTGGGGACAAGGAGAGGTAGATTAAACATTGTCAGACCATATTTAAGCACTTCACACTCAACACAAAGGTCTACAAGCCACAATGGTGTCACTACATGCATGATGACGTTGCCGTGTAACTGTTGCCTTCGTTGCATTTGTGTCTCGATGCCTGATGCAAGTAAGCACATTTCTTTGTATTTGTTCCTCCATTCAACAAATCTATATAGCTGTAGGCGATGACCAGGTTGAACCCGAAGGAGGGATCAAATGCAACATCAGCCTTGAGTCCCTTCACATCCATAAGAGATCTAAGTCCAGCCCTTTTTGAATTCTGTTGATTCTTATCTACCGCCAATTTGCCTTGGGTGTTAGTAGTTCAGATTCTTGTAGAACACTAGCATGGAATAAACCTGTACTTGTTTGAACACTCTTGGTTCCTTATTTCTTACACCTGACCCAGGGTTTTCCCAACCTGGGTAACTTTACAACGTGTGGAGTTCAACTGGGGAATTCTGGGAGTTGAGGTCCACATGTCTTAAACTTACCCAGACTGGGGAAAACCCTGCTTTCGAGTCTATCTGCTGCCAACTTGTTTTGATTGTCAGTAGTTCAGATTCTTGTAGAGAGCTTAAGCTTGCGATAAACCCTTGACTTCTTTTGAGCTGCCTGGATTCCTGATTTCCTGGCAATAGCTGCCCCTTGCATGTGAAGTGACTCTGGATGGTGAACAATAATTGTAGCATTTGACATACATACTTGCGTCAGGCATCAAGGCGCAAGCCCACACAGGCAGCAGTTATAGGATGACACCATGACATGGGTATTGTTCTTTTTGAAGGCCACGGGTTTTATGTGAGCCCATGAGACACATTTCATCGGTGATTCAACCAGCCTATTTTCCGAGTTTCAGACACGCAACCTCGTACGGTTGGGATGGGTTTGTACAGTTCATTAAGCCGCGTAGAAACAAACTAAATGGCGACCTTGGAGCCTCAAAATCTTTGAGGAACCTACCTGCCTCCAAGTTCTGTTTCCTACAGGTGTATTTCTTGGAACCCTGGCAGTAAAGTTAAGACTTATTAAGCAAGTCAGGCCAACCTCCCCCCACAAAAGCAGGACATCTCTAGAGCAGGGGTCCCCAACCACCGGTCCGTGGACCAGTACCGGTCCGTGGAACAAATCCTACCGGGC